CAGCTACAAGTGAAATTCTTAATGTCCTCATGTGCCATATTTTTAGATTTTCATTTCAAGATCCTTGAAAATCTTCAAAGATACATTACAATCTGCAGAGAGTGCCATGTCAGTTAGAAAGTACTTTTTTGCAGTCACTAATCATCACGTCTGAGCGATTAGTTTTGATTTTTCTGTTAGTGTGTATTGCAAAGTACCATAAAATTGTTACAGGTCCGATATCTGTAAACGGGTATAGTTCATACCAATTTCTTGCAGTGTGCTTTTCGTAAAAGTTGCAGATATTCCAGTGCAGTTATTGGGCCACTCTGTCACGCCGGGATTTATATGTAGCTAGTGCCAGTACTGTACAACCTGATACAAGATGGTCAATTGTTTCCGGATATTTATCACAGAATTTACATTTTGGGCTAATGCAATTTTTCAGTATGTGTGCTAGGTAATTTTTAGTTAGGAAGCATTGGTCCTGTGGAGCAAGAATAAAACCTTTGGTTTCAACATTTAACCTTTCACTACGTAACCACTGATGGGTACTGGATTTGTCTACATCAGCTTTTTGGTACGGGCAGAGTATTGACCGTGAAGAAGTTTATCTTGACCTCATTTTTCTGTATCTGGTCCATTGCATTTGTTTTTGTTTTCCTTTGAAGCTTCAATAGGTGTATTATGTTTTACTTACAGGAAAAGAGTTGTTTTTTTTCTCTCATCTTCTTTGACACATATTTTCATTCAGTCTTGTTTAGTTTCCCGGTAACTTTGAAGATTGATTAGAATCATTTGTTTTAATAGTGAAAACAGAAAAAGGAAATAAATTTTATTTAATGAATATTTTAACCAAAGCTAGAAAATAATTCTTCTTAATATTATCAGTCTATGCTTAATCAATATAAAAATTATTTATTTTTATGTGGAACAGACTAAGTAGCAATGGGTGGGTACAGGGTTTGTTTACATCAGTTTGTTTTGTAAAGGCAGAGTATTGACCGTAAAGTAGTTTATCTGGACATCGTTTCTCCATCTGTCTTACATAGTTTTGTTATTTTGATTTACAGGGTCTTATAATTTGATAGCTTTATTATTATTATTATTATTATTATTATTATTATTACTATTACTATTATTATTATTTTCTTTGATTTCTATCATTGAAAAATGGTACAGCATTTACCATTTCTTACAAGTTCGGAGCATGGCACTAGTGATCTTCCACAAATGTTCAAATTAGTTTGTTTTGTACAGGCAGAGACAGACCGTGAAGTAGTTTATCTGGACATCGTTTCTCCATCTGGTCGGTTTTAATTGTCTTTTCTTTCTTTCTTTCTATTTTTTTTAAAAATATTTTGCATCTTCAGCCGGTGTATTATACGTTATTAGTATTTCTTCGGCCATTTCAAACTCCATTTCGAACTTGTTGGCTTCCTTTATTACTGAATAAAGTTTCTTATTTCGTGTTTTTGACACAGATCATCATCCAGTTTTCTGTAGTTTCCATGTATTTTTGAAAGCCGGTTGTTGTAGTTTTGTAAGACATTTCTAGTTGAACTAATCCTCTGCCTCCTTCGGATCTGAACACATACATGATATGCATGCGATGGCAAGTAAAAAGCTTTCTCATTTTGGCGTCCATTCGCTTAATGCCAGTTATGGTCCAATTATAGTATACTTTTATTTTTACTTTCTCCTTCATCTGGATGTGATGTATTCCATCTCCTTCGCTTATTCCTAGATACCTATAGGCTCCATTTTGTTCTACTTTCTAAACATTGCGACAGTATCTAGATCTATTGTGTGTGTTTCTGTAATTCTACCTTTCTTGAATGTTACTTTTGCACATTTATCTAATCCGAAGTCCATATCTATGTCGTCATTGAAACATTTTACAGTATTGAGGAGACCTTTCAATCCATTGTCGTTTTGGCAAATTATTACTACTATTATTATTATTATTATTATTATTATTATTATTATTATTATTATTATTATTATTATTATTAACAGACCGTTGAAAATGCTACCTTGACCCAGGCGTCATTAAATGGAAGCAGGATTTGTTGACAAGAGATAATTCCCAGAATTTACAAAAGTCACGACATCGATCTTATTCCAGAAAGAATCGACATTTTAGCCTAGGAAAAAATGAAGAAGTGGAACTTTTTTTTCTTTCTCAAAACGTAATAGTTTCATTCACTCGACAAATTTTTAACAAAAAGAAAATATTATAGATATAACAACCTAGTAAGATCATTGTATATTATTTATAATTTATCCTTAATTTAACTGGCTTCCTACCATTTCTTTCCGAAAATAATATCAATCCTCCTTAGGGATTGAAACTTGTGCATATAATAGATTAAAATGAAAAATATTTGCGCGGTATCATGGCCTCTATCTCTTTCTAAAAATTATCAATGTGACAAAATAAATTTAATTCCTTCGTGTTTTTTATTTTGTATTTTTTTTTTCAATTAAAAATGTACGGTATACAGAAGTATGCTATGGCCATTTTAAGATATGTAAACCTGAGGCCAATTCCAATTTTAATTGAAGAAAACAATATATTTTAATAATACATAAAAATATATTAAAGAGATTTAAAATAGTAGCTTCCGGAATTAAGAAATTGCGTAACCTTGAATTTAAAATATAACAGCAATATTATTCTGCAATATGCCGTGTACCTTCAGGGTGTTGGTAATCATGGCTCTCCACAATTTCCTATCTTTTGTAACTCTTAATAAATTTTATCTTTAATTATCTATCCTTGCTCCGCTATTCATTTACTCAACCTCGCTAGTTAATTTATGCGTTCTTTTCTTCTGTCCCTCTTGCCATTAATCTGTCTTGTGAGCATCAAATTTTCCAAGGCCTCTTTCCTCATTAGATGATCTAGAAATGTCAACTCTTTCTACTTGATGTAGTATAAATGTCCTTTTTATTTCCATTTTACCTAAAACCTCATCTTTGCTCACATGTTCGGTTCATGGTCTATTATGAATTCGTGGTTTTCTCAGTATCCTTCTGTAGAATTACATAATTGCAAATATCTTCCGAAATTTAACAGTTTTATTTTACTTTTATTAATTTTTATCATGGTTTTATACATTTTCAACCAGAATTCGAACAGTCTGTCACTAGGTAGGAATATTTAAATATGTTGGGCACAGAACATACCTATCATGCTATTTCTTTTTTCTTTTCTTTTTTCCTTTAGTTATTTTATAGTTTTGTTGGAAACATTTTTCTTTTTCTACCGGCCATTCCCCAACAGGACGTGAATATTTAGTATTTGGGATGAGATAGCTTCGATTCAATTAGTACTTATATAATTTAGAAAGGCATGACCCCAGTCCCTCTTGTCTCACAGTACAATATCTGGGAGTAACTCAAATTCTGGATAGATATAAACCATAATTGTTATTGAAAAACACAATTTTCTTTCTTCATCTTTTTCTTCTATGTGGCATGCCCTTTCAGAAAGTTGATGATCATGGCTCTCCACGATTTCCTGTTCTTGTAGGTATTAGTAAATCTAAACCCTATTCTGTCATCCATTTACATATGTTCGATAGGTAGTTTTCCTCTGTTTTACCTTCAATATTCTCTGTGAGTGTCAAATTTACCAAACACTCTTTTCTCATTATGTATCCTAGAAATTTCAAATGTATCTTTCTGATGTTAAATATAACCGGCCTTTTTGTTTTCATTTTCTCTAAAACTTCCTCGTTTCTTACATATTCAGTTTATGGTATTCTTGGCTTCCTTTTGTTGCTTCAAGTCTCTTTTTCATCTGTGATAAGGTTGTCCAGCCTTCACTATCATATAGAATGGCCGATATTACATATCAATTTAGTGCTCTCTTCTTCATTTCAAACGGAATTTTCTTGATTCTTAATACTTTGCTTACCTTCTTTTTCTATTTCAATACGCCTTCACACTTGAATGTTGCATTTTCTATCCTATGTGAAAACAGTTTCCAGGTATTTAAATTGCTGGACTTGCTCCAATTTGGATATCTCCCGTTTGCATTTGCATGTTGTGTTGTTCTTTTTTCTGATAACAACTAACATGCAAATTATATTCTGTTTCTTGCAATATAGGCTTAGTCCTTTCTTCTTGCTTTCTTTAATTACCTTTTGTAAAGGTCCTTAATTCTTCCTGTGTCTGCTATCAACACTGCTTTACCTGTATATATTGTGTTGTTAAAACTGTAACCATCAACAAAGAAAAGCACACATATATGGTGCATATATCAAACTGAGGCGATCACATGCTCGTATTGTTTCGAGTTTTTATTTGATAATGTTTTGTCCCTTGAGGACGAAGGTGATCATTATCCTCCACAGCTTTTTCTTCACTGTCTGTAAAAGATAGAAGTTTTGGGTTTTTTTCCTGTTGCTTCTTCCATGATTAGGCATTTAGAGTTTTTCTAGACTTAGACCGGTGACCACCCAGAACTAGAGATCACAGCCTAATATTTCCGGTACTTCCATATTTTTGTGCATTGCAAGTCTCTCTCTTTCTCTCTCTCCCTCTCTCTCTCTCCTCTCTCCCCCCTCTCTCTCTCTCTCTCTCTGAAATGAATGTAACGATTTCAGTGAACGTAAATACTAACCCGGAATTTGAAGTCGGTTCGTATATTCCAATTTGTACACCTATAGCCGCTACACTACCCGCTGATATAACAGATAATGGTCACTTTAATAAAGCTTGTTGTACTTCAGTCGCATTTCTTAATGCATTTTATTTTTCGCGGTTTATTTTTTTTTTCATCTCTTTTTCCTCTGTTTTTTTTCCTATTGATCAACTCATTTCTTTTAGAATTGTTTTAAAAAGTTGAAATGAAACGCAATACAAATAGCACTGTATTTGATTGATTCATTTAACAGTTTTTGTTTTATTTGCAGTTTTCCAGTACTAGCTCTGAAGACAGTTCAACTGATGAATCGGGTCGATTAAGAAGACCTCTCCGTGGCTTCCGAATGGGAACTCTTCGGGAGGATATGCTGTATTCGTCTTCCCTATCAGATCCGGATTATACTTCGAGCAGTGAACAGTCATGCGACACTGTAATATATGTCGGAGCCAACGGCCATTCTTTAAGTGATCGTGAACTTACCGATAATGAAGGTCCGCCAAAAGCCGTGCCCCTCTTACCCCGAACAAATCCTCGCCTTCCCCGTAGAACAAGTGGCTCAAGATCCTCAGGTGATGAAGGATCTACATCTGACACAGGCAGAAATTTTTCGCCTGTAGAAACTGGGCGTTTGTCGATTAACAAGATTTATGGTCGAGAACCCAATACCCAGACCCGTATACCCGTAATGTCTCCGACTCCCACCAACAGTACAAACCGTGATTCTTCATCTCCGACAGGAAATACGACTCCTCTGTCTGCGTCCTCAGGATATCAAATGGCAAAAAGAGCGAATCTTAAACAGAAGATCCCGTCGTCGAAATTTAAAGCCTTGTCTGACAGCGGAAGTAGTGGACGTCACCAAAACAGTGCAGAAGGCCCCAATTTTATGGAGCAGTGGGTGGACGGTCCAGGTGCAGCTATATATCCAGATAAGAATAACGCAGAACTGTGGATAGATGGTCCCCAGGCATTTATGGTAAAAATGGAGAATGGATCTAGAAAGCACATTCGAAAAGAATTAGATGAAAATGGAAGAGGAAGAACATGGGCCATGAAAAGAAGGAATGGAAGTATGTCAGATGGTGATATTCAGCCACCACGAAGTGCATCACTCCAAAGAGATGAACGGGAGGAAGAGCAATGGGTAGACGGGCCGGGTAGGGGTAACATACGGGTAAGTAATAACAATTACCAAATTAAGCAAAACGCGGCGGCGTGTCACGGCAAGAAGGTGACATCTCACATACCGCAGCCAGCACCCCCGTCTCCTCCGGATCCTATACCCCCTCCTTTATCAACTATGACTACAGGGACCCATAATGTTGTTAACCAATTGCGATCCAACAAACACAACCAGGAGCCAAGACCTGACAGCGCAATAAGTGCGGACTCATTAAGCGCTGAGCCTTCAGACTCAAGGCCAGCAAGTCTTCATAGCAACGAACAACCAGAGCAGGAAAACGCGGAAATTTTCCAAAGTAAGCCTGTAACTGCTGAAAATGACGATGGTTTAAATAACTTTGTCAAGGATTGGGTAGAAAGACACCACTGTAATAATAACAATGTCAACAGCACAGTAGTTGACACGCAAGAGGTTCCATCTGTTACAAATAATGGAGATTCTAATATTGGAACTATAATGGATCCTGCAAACCAAGTACTTCCTACTTGTGAATCATTGCCATGTTATAATAAAGAAATGGTTAATACCCAAACCAATCAAGTTGCTTCGATGCTTCATAAGACAAAAATTACTTCACAAGAAACTCCGATTGGCCCGGGACATTCTACAAATCGCATAACTGAATGGCTGAAGACAGTTTCAACAGACGAAAATAGAGAGGCTTGCGTCAGTGGAAGTGGAAATAGTGGATTGAGCAAGCCGTTCCTTATAACCGAATCTCAGCTCAATAACGGATCAGATGCTTACGAGATCACAAATGGCAGTGCGGATTGGAGACGCAATGAAACTGTACCGTTGATTGAAACCGTTTCAGAGTTTAACAAACACATGCTTTTGTCGGATCAGTGCGAAGACAACAAAGTATGGTTTACAGAAGAAGAATTAACAAGTGAACAGAAATATCTGAGCTTTTACAGTAGTGCTGACACAAACAAAGATAGCAACCCAGAAACAGAATTTGCTAACTTACTGATATCAAATCGAGAATCAATTTACGAAATTCAGGTTGATCAACAACTGGAGCGAAGAAGTGTCAGTGGCGGTCAAGATATACCAGATGATGAAACTTTTAGCAGCATATCGTACGCCAAAGAGGATGCAGAAAAACTTTCCTTGGAGGCAGAAGCTGAGCGTATTCAGACAGTACAAAAATTAAAAGCTTTGAATGCTTTCCAGGATGATATCCCTCCACTAAGGGAAAGTAGGACTCATTGTCAATTTGACCGTGCTAAACTTTCTGACTTAGAAGAAGTTTCCGATGAAGACTCTGTACTTGAGTGCAAACAACAGTTATTAGTAACCTCTGGAAAGCCTGATAATTGTTCTAATTCACATCTGTCCAAAGAAATATTCGATGAAGAAGAGGGAGCTATCGATGTTTCAGTGCTTAAACAAAATTACACGATCAATCCGACAATGTCGGGTGTTTACCAAACAAACTCTTTATTTTACGAACGGAATAGTGACAATGCTAATAACAGTTCCAGCTCTAGTGCTGTCGGCGGACATCCGCTTCCCAATGTTAACACTGTGCCTAATACACTTCCGATGTATTCTCAGATTAAATCGGCCAAAGATGGATCTGGAACTAGTTCGCAAAACGATGCGAAGAAATCTCAAAAGACAAAAACGTCAAAATCCGGTTCCACTCACAAAACACAATCGCCTTCCCCGCCCACCATCCATAAGTCGACCAATAGAAATCAGTGTAAGGATACGACTAGCTTATCCAGCAACAAACAAAAAATTAATAAGGACTCTTCCCCAGGGTGTACTGCTATCTCGAGTTCCGTTCCGAGCAAGCTGTCTGCATCACCTTCTTCATCTTCTTCTTCTTCTCATGCCAGCCGTGGCAAAGACAGAGGCAACAAATCCGGGCGCTCAAGCTCACAACCTGCAGTCTCAGCTGTGACTCGCAACAAGACGTCCAAATCTCAATCACCAAGCCGTTCCCGCTTGCCGATATTCAACGGAAAGGCTTTCACGCCAACGTCTAAGCTAAAAAAGAAGGAGAAGGAGAAGAAGGAGGAGAAGGAGAAGATGGCGATGATTGAGAAAACTTGTTCTCCAAAGATTCACGAGATTGACACCAGGGTCCCACGTCGCGATGCTGATACTGGTAATGAAACTGGTCTTGTAGCAAGCGAGAAGAAATTTCTGTCCCCTTACGCTACGGTAACAAAGCCGCGTGTAGCTAGCCACTCAAGCAGTGGTCATGGCAGCGACAACAGCAGTACAATCAGCACCGAGGTTCACTCACAGCTGGGCAGCAAATCGGATAAGCTTCACGGGGGAGGAACGAGCAGTGGTTATGAGAGTATGCTAAGGGACAGCGAGGCAACCGGTTCATCCTCAGCACATGATGATTCTGCCAGTGAATCATCATCTAATGAAAGAAAAAAAGGAACGCGCAAAAAAAAAATCGCAGGTAAGAAACGAAAAACTTTTACCTTTGAAAAAAAATCCAAGTTCAGTCTAATTAATATTTTATTTATTTTTAGTAAATATCATATTCGAGAGTAACTCAAGGTAGAGTCGAAATTGTTTGATTTGGTTTATCTTGTTTTATAGCATATCAAACTTAATGGATTGTAATGCCGACAAGATTTTTAGGATAGGTTCGTATGAATAGAATATGTATTCTTTGTTAGAAATCAGCTTGTAGATTAGCTTTCATTGTATTTTTGTAAAGAGGGTTTTTGTTGAGAGACAAATGTATTGCTGGTAATATTTTTTTCAAAAATGTATTGCTGGTATTTTTACTATAAAAATCTATTCTTATACTTTCATAGTAACACTAGTTTGGAGGTTAACTATTTGCCATTAGCTTGGACTCTAACAAGTGCTACCACCTCGCGTCAGGGTGGACCTGGGAACAACAGCAATTAAGAGGTGGTTCCATACTCCTCAAAACATCCTGATCAGAGGCCTTGCTACCGAATATAGTTTTACGTCATACCCGAACACGTGGAAAATTAGGATGATTCGACTCCGTGAAGCTGGTCGTTTCCTAGCTGCAAAGGTCTAAACTAGTAGAACTAAAGAGTAGAGTTCTTCTGAACATACATTCGATTTAAACTCTTTTTCTAAATTCATCGATGTCTAGTACTGAATATAATTTTAAAATATGCGCACAAGAACACATAGGTATATATGTAAGTCTTTTTTCACTACACTTTGGACTGTTGTAGCTGACACTGCTCCCTCACGTGTCAATCGTCTTATGTATTAGGTTGGATCATTTTGTAACTGATCTCTTGAGCTCTAAGTTGAAATGATGACCCCCATCTACTGAATGGGAAATTGTTTCTAGGGCCAACGCTTTTAACGGGAAAGGCGACAATTGTTGTCTTTGTTCAGCTGAAAAACTAGTTATTTAAAAAAAAAAAAACTAAAACAATCATTATTGAATCAAAGTAGTGAATAAATATTTTCTTGCAGACACAAAAATAAACATCTCCTTAAATACCCTACACCAGATTAGATCTTTAGAACACTTTATTAATTCTTTTCTGCCTTTTTTCTATTTTCCAGTATACTATATAGCATTTTTACTTTTATGTTCTTTTTGTCCTTGTTTCTGGGTCATTATAATTACTTCCTTTTGATCATTTTAGTTTTTATCCTCCATTTTATTTTTTTTTTTTTTGTATTTCCATTTTATCATATTTTAAATTTTATTTTCATACTAATAATTTTCTTCCCTCCTTCCTTTTCTCCAAATTATTTTTGTTAACTTTACTATTTTTAAGTTTAAATTTTAAAATCTGTAACATTAAGTATCACGACATTAGCGTCTTGATAGCCAGATATATTTTGATTCAAACCGTAAAACTCTCATTTTGAATTCTGCACCCGAATATCGCGTCGTGCATGAAACTCAGAGTCGAGCTAGAGGTGAGAAATATTGTGTGTGTATACATACATACATACATACATACATACAGGCATATATATATATATATATATATATATATATATATATATATATATATATATTGTGTGTTTAGGTATCAATACTTCAGTTATACATGTTTCATTAAAACAACAGACAATGTACTGCGATTAATCTTTTTATTTAATCTTTCTTAGAGTGTTTAGAAACTGTTCAAATGTCCTATAATTACAAGCGCTTTCGGCTATATTTTTTATCAAGGATGATTTTATTTTTGCTTTTTAATTGGGTGTATGGCTTGTGTTGTATGTTTTACAATATTAACTACGAACACGGCCATAATCTGCTAACTGTGTTCGGAAAATAAAGCATTCCTATAATTCTGTAAATATCCACGCAACCCATACATACATATATATATGTGTGTGTGTGTGTGTGTGTGTGTGTGTGTGTGTGTGTGTGGTTCGAAATAGGCTGCTTTTACAACAGCCGACAAGAAAGGCGCAGATCGGAGTTGAAATATATTTTCAAAATAAAATAAAAAATGAAGGATTAAACAGGGATTTGTGTTTACTAAGAAAATATAATTTTCACAGGGAGTCCTCTAACCAACACAAATATTCATTGGAAGAGTAAGCCTCACTTCTCTGCTTATTCCTCATCTCATTGAAAAAGGATACAGGCGTGTCCGGAAATTCCAATTTTAAAATCTTTCTCTTCGTCTTTCATTTTAGTCAAAAGGCTAATATATAATAAACATTATCAATCATATTGCAAATAAACCAGCGTATTATATATATATATATATATATATATATATATATATATATATCTATATATAATATTCATCTATTTCATGTACACACCCATTGCGATAACTTGCTCATTTTGTGCAGGAAACTTAATATACTCTTTTACTAAGTAAAACCATTAAATGGGATTAACGTAAACATTTAACGTCAGAAAAGGCAACATTTTTTTTATATTCAGTGAATCTTTACATATATATTTTCTTCGATAAATCTCTTGCTATATTTTTTCTTAGTAATTCTACTTTTCTCATCATACTCTGAAGTTAGTACGACATGGTACTCAAATATATAATTTTCTGTTATCCTGCTAATTTGCAGGACGTTCCAATAACTTTATTTATGTCTAAAATATATTAATGCATAATACTACAAGAAATGAGAAGGTCTTCCCGTTGAGATTCCTAACCTCAGGTAAATATGACTTGCAACACATAACAGTCCGAACAGGAACATTTTTATAAACATTTGGTAAGTCACGCATTGCTTTAAGCATTATACGCCCGAGGTATGATTTCTGCTGGCAGCAAAATGAAAGTCGAACTGAAATATACAGGTCTAAGATAGTGCCAATCGCCATTAAAATGTGACCAAAAAAAAGTTTGTGACCAATGTACTATAGATGATTTTTGTTATAATTGCAAGACCCTCTATTGTCATCATACTTATTATAAAACCCAGGTTGTGTGTGTGTGTGTGTGTGTGTGTGTGTGTGTGTGTGTGTGTGTGTGTGTGTGTTTATATATGGGATCTCGGATTTCCTACATTTTCAACCGATTTCAACAAAACTTCACAGGACTACGTAAAATTACTTTGCGGTGGTTCTGACAGCATAAAAATTGGAAAAACACAATTGCTTTTTCCACAAAATCAATTTGAAAACACGATTAAGAGGCATCGCGAGAATGAAAGAGGGACAACTCATATCGAGTTATACTTATTATAAAACCCAGGTTGTTTGTTTGTTTGTTTGTGTGTGTGTGTGTGTGTGTGTGTGTGTGTGTGTGTGTGTGTGTGTGTGTGTGTGTGTTCGTTTATATATGGAATCGGATTTCCTACATTTTTCAACCGATTTCAACAAAACTTCACTTTTTTTTCACGGTAGTGTTTCTTATTGTCTTGCACACTTTTTTCCTTAGTTTTACATTCAGAATGCTTTAAAAATTCCATTTACAAGACAATTGTTTATAATAGAATTCTATTCAATCGGTAGACCCATAACGAGTGAAAACAATGTTTTTGTTTGAGTTTGACCAATTCGTAAAAAAAAAAAAAAAAATAATTAAAACATGCGTGTCCGTCAACCTTAAACAATAATCTTTGTCAATTTTATTTTTCAGTCTTTATGATGGTCGATACTTGATCTATCTCTTACTGTTACATCCCCGGGCAACGCCGGGCTCTACTGCTAGTTATATATAAGAAAGGCATGTTGTACTAATTCTGGTATCTTCATCTTTTTTTAATATTTCAAGACAATCGTTTATTTTCTTCTCGTTGTCTTTTCAACTATAACAAAACAATTAGGCAATATTATTTTGATCAGTTTTTGTTAAGAAGATATAGAAATTGATTCCTCTTTAAAATATAATTAATATTTTAAGAAGGAATGCAAATTCATCCAGATACGAATTTTTATTAATGAAACCGTAACCTTTTTAGCATTTTGCCCTAAACAAGGCATTATATTTTTTTAAATTACTTCACGTAAAAAAATAAGGAAAAACATAATAAAGGAGAGAGAAAATAAAATAAAATAAAAGGAATTAAGTCAACAAAAGATAATAATTGAATTTAAATTTTTGAAGACCAGTACAGACTGAGAAACATAAAATCAAAGTGAGTTCCACAAGCGAAGAGAAATGAGAAAAAGAAACTGTTAGCATAACACTTCTGGTTGCATCTAGTCATTTTAACTGTAAAATGGTGGAACCTAGCTGCCAATCTAGTACTGCGCTTAAATTCGTAAAATTGAAGTACTAAAGAGGAATGCTCATCAAAGCAATTAGTCAAAAACATTTCTAGAAAAAAATACAGAAAAGCTACATTATGGCGGTGAGAAAGTGACTGTAACCGAGATGCCAGATCATGACTGATGACATCACAGAATCGTATTTGAATTGTAAGATTTCTATCAATAGAAATGATAACTTGGCAAGAGACGCAAAGTAAATAAGGACTCTATTGATAGGGGAGAACTGTACATGTTCTGTTTATATGACCTTAACTTGAAAGTTGTTCGTATATAATCTCTCAAGTGTGTTTAAGTTTTCAAAGCGTTGAATTCCAAGGGGTAAATTTTAGTTGTACTTTCTTGTATTACCAGATTTATGTAGAGGTGTAAATACTATTTGTATTTGATCATTGGTATCTTGAACTTGGAAATTATTTGCGTACAGATAAAGATCAATTGAGTAAAAGAATAATTCGTCAATTATAACATAAGTAATGTAAAGCGGCGGACAGTTTTTGGCGCGAAAAGTGGAAGCGTCGAACCGAGTTCAAATTCCCGCCAAGTTATGTTCATTTTTGCACCAATATCCTTTGGAAAGCTATAAATGTCCCAAGATTTCATGGCAATCACAGATAGTAAAGAACGGAATATATTTTGAGACTTGGTCACCTATGTCCTCAATGGACATAGCATTAAAACAAAAAGAAAAGTAATTACTGAACGGCTTAGAAACAAACTTCTTGTGAGCATTGTTTTAAAAAAATAAAAATCCAATATATTCTCTTTTAGGATTCGTCTAGCTCTCTACTTGTAAATAAGAAATGATTTCTATTTAATTTTTTTTTCGAATATAAAATATAATGAT